ATATTATATATATTATAAAAGCCTATATTTATAGATATAAATTTGATATTAAAAAAATTTGAAAATTTTGTATGTGAATAAATATGTAACAACAAAAATATATTTTTTCATATATATTTTACCTGAAAATACATACATTTTTTGTAATTCTAATATGTAATTTGAGATATAGAAGTGACCAAAAAATTAAAAATTCTTATAAACAAAATAAATTTAAAAATTAAAACTTTTACATCAAAACAAGATAATGTAACATTGTAATATTAAAACTCAAAATAATTCATTAGTTTATAAAAAGAATTTTTCAAAGATCACATTTATGACAATTTCAAGTTATATGTACCAAAATATTTGAAATCAATTGAACTAAATATTTCAACTTTAGAAAAAAATCCATTTAATTTTAAAAAAAAATTAAATTCATAATAATAATTTACCAATAATTTTCACATTGAAATATTTATTAAATTTTGTAAAAATAATTTCCCATAATTTAATTTTCTTTAACTAGAAAATATGATAAGCAATCATTTTTATTCTTTTATATTGATAAAATGAAAATATTATTTGTATATTTGATATAATGACAGTTTTAAAATAAATAAAATTATTCATAAACTGTTGTAATATAGACAGTAATTGTTGATATAAATATGAAACAGGAATAAATTCCAACTAAAAATATAGGATATGTATTAATAAATAAATGTAATTTAAAGATAAAATACATATCTAGATTTTCTAAAACTGAAGAAATTTAATATTAAAACTTTGGAATTTTTAAAATTTTAAAGCATTTCATTATGTTATGTACTGTATATAATTAATTATATAAAATTTCGTCTATAAATAAAATTTCATCTGATTAAATAAAGTATTAAAACTTTAATAAATATATAAATCATACAATGACTTTTATACTTCCATTTATTATTAAAAAATTTACCAATTCATCTATGAAATCACATTAGTCAATAAATTATTATATGGGAATTGCATTAATTTCTTTTACCTGTATCTTCTAATTTTAATTCTAAACAAATTGTATCTTAGAAAGTAACTTTTGTTTATTACAAGCTTTATGTTTAAGGGAGATGATGATATAATGAAATGTAAATTCTTCATTATAACAACTAATTATTTCTATTAATAAAATCAATAACTACGAAACAATTATACCGAATTCGAATTTTATAATATAATAAACAGAACTACTATTTAAATACAGTCTTAAACATGTTAAAGATATCATATATAGACTTTCATGTATTACCTTACCTTCTAGATATTTCTGCCTAAATTACTATAAATATTGCACTGTTCTAACAATATATGATTGATATACAATGTTGATAGGATATATTATAATTTTAATAAAACACGAACGTAAAAACCGACTAACCAACTGCAGTCAACCGAAGAGACTGTCATCGAACAACATAATACTGGAAACAAACTAGGAAACGAAAACGCCCTCTTCTGGAATTTACGATGATCTTACACGTAAAACTTTATTTCATTCAAGAGAAAATTAATTATATGTTTTGTAAATATACTTGTTTAATATAATAAATATATTATGATTTTGAGAAAATATTTAGAAATACCTAATTTTTTTTATATAATTATATGGAGTATTTGATTTGGTTTGTTTGAGTTATGGCAACGCAACACTTGGGCGCTCTGCCTAGGGGGATGCCTTCCGGGAAGTCTTTTTACGGAAAACTGGCCCTTATTTAGGCGTTACAGACGTGGAGAAAATTCGAAAAATTTCACTTGGCCAGCCCGTCCGAGCGAGGCGCGAACCACGACCGAACTACCAGTGATTAGGGTACGAAAACCGCTTAATCACTGATGAGCTCGGAGGTTTCAAATAGTTGCTTTGAAGTTCCAAGTAGTACGAATTAGGTTCGGTTCCTCTAAAATTGTTTCGAGAAAGCATATTTGTCATTTGACAGAATAAATTACTAAATTAAACTATTGCTAAAATTATTCTATTTTAACCCCTTTCAGGTGAAAAGTTTGGAATTGAAATAACGTGACACTTTCGATTATGATCGAAAGTCCTTTTATAGTTAATCTGCATTTCGTGTCTCTAACTCGTCCATATGTCGTCTCGACGTTCACTTAAATGTGGTCTCCTTTCTCGAGATTAAGAAAAGACGGACGGACAACTAACAGAAAGACTGGGAATTTATAAGTACTGTATACAATTTTTTCAAATTGCAATATCTATGAGCTATACAGTAAACAAAATAGTTGAAAAGCAGTTTTTCAATGGACATTAACATTGAATATCATTTTGTTTTTTACAAAAATTAAACAGTTCAATTAACAAGAACTTCTCAAAATGTCTTCTGTGAATGCCGCCGACATTTACTTCTTGCAAAAACAATTGAAAACCAATATTACGCACTTATTAAAACAAATTGAATTTTCAAGTAATCAAAATACAATTTTCAATATTATAAAATAAAGCTTCAGTTTGTACGTATTCGTGTGCGTGTACTAAAATATTGGCAAATGCCGTTTCCCTACACCTGTATAAAATAATTAATATTTATTAAATTATTTCTTATTGAAAAGTTTTGCATTATAATTACAGTGGAACCCCGGTTAACGAACGTCCTGGTTAACGACCAAATCGGTTAAAGAACTTTTATTTTGCAAAAATTTTGTCTCGGATAACGAACATAACGGTATTTTGTGTCAAATTTTAGTTTGTGTTAGGCATGCGCGAGTTAAGCATTGTTTTTCAAANATACATTTTGCAAAAGGTAAAGCATGGATCTGAAGATAATGCAGAAAAATGCTCAGAGGATAAGGATAACTTGCCAAAAAGAAAACGCTCTCGGTTAATTAATAGTGTTTTTAGTGATGACGAAGAAAACATTGTTTAATTTATATTAATATGTATCACCTAAAAAAATTTTTAATGAAGATATTTATCTTAATTATGAAAATATACTAGCATGTTTTTTAATTTTTGGAACCTAACCCTCCTTTTCGTATTAGTTCTTTGTTTCGTATAACACGGCAATTTTTTGGAACGTAACTACTGTGTTATACGGGGGTTACCTGTAATTGGAAACATTTTATTTAGTAAAATACTTTTTTAATATTCTTGTTTTTGAATTAATTATATTTGGCATGATTATATTTTTTTAATCTTTCAGTTATCAAATTACTATACTAATACATTAATTCTAGCTCAAAGCTCTTCTAAGAAAATAGTTTTTAATTAAATAAACAAAAATAAATTATTAAGTTAAAAATTTAATATGTAGCATTTTGAAATAAAATTGGTGGTGTGATCATGTAGATGTGTAAGTTATATATTGTCTGCAACAAGAATTTTGCAACCTTTCATCAACATATTATCTAAAGACACAAAATCCTATCATAAACTTTTAATAGGTGCTTTTTCTGATTTTTTTATTTGGTATAATAAAATAGTTTTTGTTATCATTTTCTAAATATATAAATATTGTAGAGGACATTAGACAAAAATAAATAACATACAAAGTAGCTACTGTGTTATTTAAATTTTACATTTTAAAAAAATATTTTATATTTATTTCCATAAATGTAATTATATGGATGCTTAACATATTTGAGTTTAATTTTCTTAACCTTCTAAAAACATCATAATGTAGACTTTGTAGCATCTGAAAAACAGAATTTTTGAAAGATTAACTATTCTAATACCTACAACATAATATTTTATCAAATTTTAGATATGTAAATATCTCATTTTCAAAATATTTAATATTAGTTAACTCTAAGCTCTGACTTTTTTCAATGTACCGAGAGATGATGATATCTTTATCCCTCACACTACAAGGAGAATTTGTTTAGCAAAACCAGTCAAACTATTTTCCTTTTGGCTAATTTTGTATGGAATGAATTAAGCTGATTTTGGCCAATTTTGTGTTTAAAGAGTTAAGAGAAAATTTCATATTTCAGAATTTTAATATTAAAATAGAATGTGTAATTACATTTTGGAAAATGAAACTGAATACTGATATGTTCTTAAAAAAGAACAAAATCCATTTCTGAATAAAAATCAGTTTGGTTTCCTGAAATAATCCAATTCTCCTGAAATACCTCTGTGGTAGTTGGCTTATTTTTAGTCAATAAAGGTTGTGCTTTAGGTGATTTCATAAAAAGTTGTGTGCTTGGCTCCATTCCAGCAATAGGCAACAAAATAAAAATTAATTTACAACTACAACTCTATTCTATTTTCTTTGGAATCAAAAAATCTGTCTGCAGTTTTAATTCTTTCTTTGTCACAAAAAGTTTTACTTACTTCAGTTTCCAACAGTGCCCCCTCCTGTTCATTATATTATCATATTTTTGTAGAAATCATTTGAATTTGTCATGTATTATTGAACCAGTAGTTTCAATGGTAGATTTATTTTGCTCTTGTACACTTAACTATTTTCAGTTCCATAATTATTTTACAAGTAGTAAATCTTAAAAATTAATGACTAATATTTTAAAAATTAGAATTACTTAGTTAATTCTAAATGGAAATGAAATTTTATTTTTTAAAAATTTATACCTGAATAATAATATTAACAGAAAAAAATAGATAAGTAACATTTAATAATTTATGTATTTCTCTGTTGTAATACAAATTTATCTATGATGGTCTAGATATAACTTAGATTATTATTAAGCTTTATCAGTATGTCATTTACAGTAAACATTAAGGATTTATCAAAACAGTTTTTGACAAACTGGCATTTGATGTATACCTTAGGTAAATTCTATTTCCATACAATTAATTTTTATTTATAAATATTTGTCTATTAGGTATTCTTTGAGCAATTTGAAATTTGGAAAACTTGATGTTACAAGATATCCAGAAATTGCAACAAGGTAAGCATGAAAAACTTTTATTAAATCTGTCTTTACAAATTAATAGAATGGAACATTACAATAAAGTTAGAGAACAAATTTATCATAATTTATCTCAAATCAAATTTAAGACAACTTTTACTTTCAAGCCAAAATAAATTTGAAATTTTATTATTTTAAAATAAAAATGTTTAAAAATTTTTGAATTATGTATGTTTTATTTACTAGATATTTATTTTTTGAATATAATTGAAGCGGAGCATTAGTGAAGCTTCTGTGCAGTTTACAGAATTGTGTTCATTCTCAAAATTTTATGGACTAATTTTGATAAACCATTGCTATTTTCCATTAATTGCAATGACAAATCCAAAAATATGATGAAAAAAGGAGGCCCGTGACTTTGTTTTCAAGAAATTGTAGGATTAAAGTGACAATGTCCATGCTTCCTGACACAATTGAGTGTGCCTAATGGAATTTAGACATGCCTAACAGAAATGGGGACCAAAAATGAGAAAAACTCGAACAAAACGATCAATGTTGATTGCTTTGTTCTTGGATCACCTCTTTGTGTTGGCAAGTGTAAAGATCTCCTTTTCCACAGCTTGCAAGTGTAAGGATCGCCTCTTTCTCTCCAGCTTTGCCTCAATTCTTTTGTGATACAACAAAGCTGGTGTTAGTGTATTTTTATAATTAAAAACAACCACTATACAAAGTTTTGAAATATCAAAATTTTCCAAGAGAATATTTGTACCTTTTGGGATTTTTATGTACAGTGGATGATAGGTTAACGAACATAATCCATTCCAAGACTTTGTTTGTTAACCGATTATTGATTTACCATAGATTTTTATCAGAATTTGATTAATTCGTTCTGGAAACTCTAAAAAATAAATAATTATATACTTTCTTACTATGTTTATTTACATGTAATAAGAACTAAAAGCATCTCCATTTTTTCCTAGATGGCACATTTTTATTTCTCAGATGTGATTTTCATTACTCCTTTAGCTGCTTGAGTCTTCTTGATTATATCTTTCTTAGCTAAGATTGTGCCTACTGTAGACTTGTTCGAGCCATACTGCCTAGCACTATCAGACATCTGTCCACTCACTACCTTGGCTGTTATCTCTTGCTTGTTTCTAAGGTGAGCATGGTTCTTGACACTCCAATCTTTTTAGGCTTCATAATAATATCAATGTATTTTTGAAATAAAAAGTTCAGAAAAGCACTCACAAAAATTCAGTGAACAGAAATCGACTAGTGCATGAAAGAATTATGTAAATGTGAGGCCTGAATGAAATTCGAAATTTTGGTGTTAAACCGTTATTGAATATCCAATACAACAGTTAAACTCTCACCTTTAGAAAATAAAAACTGATGCAAAACTTAACGAGTGCCCAACAGTGCAAAGACTATAAAAAATTATTTGTCAGAAAGGTAAACAAAAAGCTGGAATTACAATGGAGAATTTCAAAGTTTGGAGGAATAATATCTGATTGTTATCAGGTTGAGTGTCTTTCGCACTCCAAAAGGTTTTGAATTTTACCTGGAGACAAAGGAAAACCAATCAGTATTCATTATTTTATGT